TTCATTACTAGTACAGAGGAATAACAAAAAATTCAAAAGAAAATTTCTAATTTTGTTTTGAAATTATGTTTTTGTCAGCAACAGTGTAGAAGGAACCCAAAGGCTCAGTAAGGGGACCCAGGCTACAACTATCCTACACAACAGAAATACAGAACACAAGCACCAGAATGTAGTCAGAACTTGTAGAACAGGCAGAGAGAGAGAGTGAGACAAGAGTAGAGTATATAGAGTGAGCCTAAGAGTACAGGACTACTTAGAGTAGACAAGATCAAGACTACTAAACTAGTCTGATCTTGTACACCTATATATACTAAACTACACAAGAGTACTCAGGGAGTATGAGCTACTTAAGAATGATAAGCTATGAAGAATGAAAGAAAGGAATGTCAAAGATAAAGGTACAAAGAATGAAGGGATAGACAAAGAGTAAGAGACTATAGAATGAACAAAGAATAAAGGGGTGGTCAAAGGAATGGAATGATGAAGTAAGGAAGGGTAGTAGTAAGAGTTAGTATGTATATAGTCTATAAACAGTACTCCTGAGGGACAGAAGTCCTGAGTTCTAGTACAGAAGAGTGTAGAACCCTCAGAACTGAAGGTACAAGAGTAGAGAACTGTAACATCACCCTCCCTCTAAAACCAATTGTTCTAATTGGTGAACATTGAGCTTAGTCAGCAGCTCAGGTATAGGTCAGAATGGTAGGGTTTGGAAATCTGTAAGGCAGAGTTGATACAGAGCACCTGGATGAAGTCAATAGAAGTCTCAGATTGTTTTAACAGTATGAGTAAGATTCTCAGCAGGTTCCTAAGTGTGTTCTTCAACTAGGTATCCTTTCTAGTAGATAAGGAACTTGAGCTTTCTACACACCAGCTTAGTATCTACTACATACTCTACTTTGTATTCTAGTTCAGAACTGATGAGTTCTAGTAAAGGTAGTGAGGGTCTTTATTATAAAGGAAAACTTGGATTGTAGTACTAAGACAGTAGAACCTTGTTGAACACTAGGTGTATGTACTTCCATATTGCTAGAAGTTGGAGTTTGTAAGCAGAGGTGCTAACCTTCTTTTTAATAACAAAGGGTCTAAAGCACTTGTTGTCTAACTTCTTTATTAAACAATCTGTAGTCAGGTTAATAGCTTCTAGTATAACTTTGTTACTAGGCTAGTAATCCTTAGCTGTAGACCTCTTCTAATCATAGTTCTGCTTTATAACCTATACTACCTTTTCTAAAAGAGCTTGTGTGTCCTCCCTGGTTCTATGTATCTATTCTATAAAGTCTGTTACAGATTCAGAACTACTGTTCTGGTTCAGAACTGTTCCCTAGTACAAATGTCTTTTATGATTGAGGAAGAACAGGGACTGTCCTGTTATAGAGTGTTGCTAGTTATTGTGTACAAATTCTGCTAGAGCTAGCTATTCAGACTAATCTGATTACTAATGATTAATGAACATTTAGAGGTAGAGCTTGATCTCCTAATTGACTCACTCAGTTTAACTGTCAGTCTGTAAGTAATAAGTAGTAGAAGGGTTCCCTTAAATTCTGAGAAGTACATACAAGTCCTACATGAATTTTGACTCAAATTGTGGTTTACAATCATGAATGAGCTTCTAAGAGAGTCTGTACAACTAGAAGATGTGATCCTAATAAATGTACACTATACCTTTAGAAGTAAGTTTCATTCAGGTTGGAACTGTATAGACTTACTTAGAGAATCAGTTAACAATTACACAGATAGTATTGTAACCCTAAGACTTGAGTAGCTCACTAATCAGGTCTACTAAGACTTCTTCCTAAGAGTAATCTAGAATTTGATACAGATGTAGAGGAGTCTAAACCCTTGTTCAGTAGGCCTTAGTCTGTTAGTATGTATTACAACCAGTTACATACTTTAGGATTTCTCTCTACATTCTAGACTACTAGTAGTTCTAAGTAATGAGTTCCTACATTTTGTGTCAGCCTAAATGTTCTACAGTCAGATTGTTGTAATAAGCTTAGACAATGTCCTCCTACAGCTTCTAATCCTTTAAAACATACAGTTGGCCTTTCTAGTAAACCTGTCTATCCTTATCCTCCTCCTAATCCCTAGCCTACTTCTCTAACTACTTTACTACAACCTAGTCCTGTGTGTGTCTCAGAGCTTACTGTATGTAGGTGACAAAGTCAACATCCTTGGATTTGAGTTGAATCTCTCAGATTGTCTTAGACACAAAACAGGAATTGTCTAGGAGAACAAGATTTTTGTTATCATTCTCCCCCCTTTTATAACCTACTCATTTTAAGAGTAAATCAGCTTTTGTTATTTGTGTTCTAGGTTTGTGAGTCAGTACAAAGTTGTAGTCCTACAGTTCTAACATTCAGTAGGCTTAGTAGTAGTTAAGCTTCTAAGGTGTCTAGAAGTACTAGAGATTAAGGTGATTACTCTAAATCTTAAACTTCTGTACAGTACTAAGAAGATATTAACACTACTCCTTTAAGGAACAGACAATTACAAAGAGTTCCTTGTTATAAATAGAGTAGTTCTGTTCTGTTACAGAGAGGGATTCTAATTAGAACACTATCAGACACTACTTTCTATTAATGAACTAAGACAGTACTACTCTATTTGTAAAGTTAGAAGAGTTGGCTTTGACTTAGAACTTGTCTACAACTGTTAGAACTACTAATACAGGCTTACTAGTAATGGCCTACTTAAGGGACTCAAATACAGACTACTACTGATCATCCTATTACTAAAGAGTATCTTTGCTAGTAAGATTGTAAAGGGGCCAGACAATGGTACTAAAGTCTTAAATAAAGTGTTAGTAGTAGTTTACAAACCTAAGGAATACTTAGACCTGTTTCAGGTTCTGAGGTTGTAGCCAGTTCTGAACTGTAGTTACCTTTGCTGGATCTATACAGACCTCTTCTCTACTAATCACAAAGCTTAGATAATCTACTGACTCCTGTACAAAAGAGTACTTTACTTCTTAGAGAAACAGTTTATTATCTTAGAGCTGTTGTAGAACTGTTTGAATCAGTCAGTAATAGTGCTCAACTGTCTAAGTAAAGATTAGAATGTTGTCTAGATACACACTAACATACTCTAAGTTAATCAGATCTGTAAGAATGTGATTTATGAATGACTAGAATGTTGTGAGCAAGTTAGTTAGTCTGAAGAATATTATAGTCAGTTTGTACAATCCACAATTAGTTTAGAACACAGTCTTCCACTCATCTCTGTCATCAGACTGGTCCTGTAGTCTTGATCTTGTCTACTCTAGATAGTCCTGTACTCTTAGGCTTACTCTATATACTCTACCCTTGTCCTACTCTCTCTCTCCACCTGTTCTACCTGTTCTGACTATGTTCCAGTGCTTACATTCTGTATTTCTGTTGTGTAGGATAGTTGTAGCCTGGGTCCCCTTACTGAGCCTTCAGGTCCCCTCTACACTGTTACTGACACCTACTCCCTCTAATTCAGGAGCTCATTAATAAGACACATACATCTAGAGTTTTTACTAAGTTAGACATTTGATAGGGATACAATAATATTTAGATCTAACTTGTACACCTATATATACTAAACTACACAAGAGTACTCAGGGAGTATAAGTCACTAAGAATGATAAGCCACAAAGAATGAAAGAAAGGAATGTCAAAGATAAAGGTACAAAGAATGAAGGGATAGACAAAGGGTAAGAGACTATAGAATGAACAGAGAATGAAGGAGTGGTCAAAGGAATGGAATAATGAAGTAAGGAAGGGTAGTAGTAAGAGTCAACACACATATAGTCTATAGACAGTGCCTCTAAGGGACAGAAGTCCTGAGTTCTAGTACAGAAGGGTGTAGAACCCTCAGAACTGAAGGTAAGAGAGTAGAGAATTGTAACATTACCCCCCCTCTAAAACCAATTGTCCTGATTGGTAAACATTGGGCTTAGTTAGTAGCTTAGGCATAGGTTGGAACAGTAGGGTTTAGAAATCTGTGAGGTAGAGTTGACACAGAGCACCCAGATGAAGTTGATAGAAGTCTTAGATTGCCTTAACAGTATGGGTGAGATTCTCAGCAGGTTCCTAAGTGTGTTCTTTAACTGAGTATCCCTTCTAGTGAATAAGGAACTTGAGTTTTCTACACACTAGCTTAGTATCCACTACATACTCTACTTTGTATTCTGGTTCAGAACTGATGAGTTCTAGTAGAGACAGTAGGGGTCTTTGTTACAAAGGAAAACCTGGATCATAGTATTGAGACAGTAGAACCTTGTTAAACACTAGGTGTATGTACTTCCATATTGCTAGAAGTTAGAGTTTGTAGGCAGAGGCACTAACCTTCTTTTCAATAATGAAGGGTTTGAAGCACTTGTTGTCCAACTTCTTCATTAGGTGATCCATAGTCAGGTTAGTAGCTTCCAGCATAACTTTGTCACTAGGCTAGTAATCCTTGACTGTGAACCTCTTCCAATCATAGTTCTGCTTCATAACCTGTACTACCTTTTCTAAAAGAGCTTGTGTGTC